CGAACTCAGTAACGTACATTCTACTTTCCACGTCTCGAACTTGAAAAAGTGTCTGTCCGACGAGACTCTTGTAATCCCACTCGACGAGATCGAGATCAACGAGAGCCTCAACTTCGTGGAAGAACCTTTAGAGATCATGGACCGGGAGGTCAAGCAAACAAAACAAAGTTGTATCCCGATAGTGAAGGTTCGCTGGAACGCCAAGCGAGGACCTGAATTCACTTGGGAGCGAGAGGATCAGATGAAAATGGAATATCCTCGTCTTTTTACTTAGTTATTTGTAACTACTTAGTTGCTTAAACTCTAATTTCGGGACGAAATTCTCTCTAACGGGGGGATGATGTGACAATCCGAAATTTTTATCTTATATACTTATTCAAATCAAAGGTCAGACTCGGTTTTGCTATTTTCTAGCACTGTTTGGAGTCAATTAGAGTGTTTAAAGCCTAGTATAAATCAGGTATGAGTCGTGGGATGAGTATTGTGGGTGTATCACCTTGCAAATGAGCCAAACACCCAACACAAGTGTGTGCGGCCGCACACAAGAGTGTGAGGCCACACACCCGTCCCAGCCGCACACTCCCACCTATATATAGAACACTTAGTCATTTTTGAACACTTTTCCACTTCTTCAAAGCTAGAACTCGAATCCTCTCAAGTATCATCCAAATCTTCATCTCGATCTTATAAAAAGGTAGTAATTCCTTGCTTTATTTGTTGATATACGACCTTAACTAGCAAAACCTTTGGTTTGATCCATGAAAAACAACCTTTTAGCCAGAACACCAAGAACACCAAGAACACCAAGAACACCAAGACCACACAGTTTTGGACCTTAAATCACCCTTTCAAGCCTCTATAAGTGTATACACTTATCATAACTTGTTATATGCTAAGAACACTTGATGATATGCAAGAAAAACACGATTTTATCATCTTCATAAAGGGTGTGCGACCGCACACAAAAGGGTGGCTGCACACACCCTTTTAGGCCCAAAAATGACAATAAACTCCTTATAAGGCTAGAGCATGAAGTAAGAAACCTTCCTAGATGAGTCCTAAAGCCTTAAAATACGTTTTGGCACATTCCATAGGGAGTGTGCGGCCGCACACACACCCTGGCCGCACACGCACAAATGTTGTGCATTTTGACCATACACTCTCTTGTATAGCCATACACCCCTTATATACAATCATATATGGTTGTAAGACTTCAAAATAAGTGTGTACTAGCCCCTAAGGTGGTTCCAATTCAATAATTAGTTGTTATAAGCACTAATTGTATTCATATATGTGTAATATATGTTAAATAGGATCGTTGTGCTCAAGACTCAATTGACACCCACAATCCCATATCGATCTTTCATTCGAGTTACTCACTACAGGTGAGTTCATACCCCTTAATTAACCTTTTAAATGATTTAAATGCTTTTATGGGGGGGAATACAAGTTGAACTATTATAGTTATTATATCAATCACATGTGATCAATAACTACCAAAAAGTGGATTTCTTACTTTTCAAACTGTTTTTACTTCAAACTGTTTCACAAACTCTTTTACATATCAAATACTTTTATTAAACTCTTTTAAACATATATTATGTTAAATGTGTATCTATATAGATATAGTTATATAAGTAGGACTGAAAGGACTTAGGACTGATAGCTCACCTTACTTCCTATTCCTTGTTTGGTTGTGGACTTAGGGTATTCAGGTTATTTGTCCGAAGGTCGTTTGAATCCTAGTTATATATTATGTATGTATATGTATATAGGTATAAAGGTCCTTCTTTCATTCAGTTCAATACCTTTGGGTAGCAAAGGTATACACACATGTTCATACATTCAAACAACATTACTAGTAACTATAATAGGTATAGTTTAGGAGAGATACTAATACTATTACTAGAACAGTGAAACATACAAAGAGTGAGTACATACATGAAACAATACCATACAGAGAGAACATACATACATGCTAGAGGGGGAGAGAACACACAATACAGCTAGTACATACATATACAAGAACATTACTACAGTTATGTGAGCCACGTAACGGGGGCATGGCATTACCCGTCATGGCCCGTTTTGTATCCAGAATCTCCTTAAGTGGGGAGCGTATGAGTTTGTGTATAGATCTATACTGGATTGACTATCCTACACCTTGCTGCTCGCTACAGTGGGACTTGCAAGTCTACGGGTGCCAAACGTCATTTCTTACGACGTTTACATCGTCGTTTTTCTAGAGTCGGTAGCAGGATACAGGCCGATCACATGGTACTTTAAATAACAATTGGTTTAAGGTAGTTAGTACAACAGTAGTTACTTAATACAACACTACAGTACTATTTCATTTTCCCATTACATTTACTTTGTGTTATTCACACAATAAACAATAATGTAAAAACTATATTTTTGGTTAATGATAGTCAGATTTGGGAAAATACACACTCTTACAGGAGACACACACAGATACTAGATGCCTTGGTAGAAGGCTACTTTTAGTAGGAAACATAGGGTTTTCTAGGAGAGTTCAAAACAATTACAAACTTTTACAAACTTATACATTACAGACTTACAAACACTTTCATACAAATACAAACACTAATATACTTATGATCTCACCAGCTTTAAAGCTGATAAACTCTTTCAAAATAACTTGTACTCTCAGGTCGCCGGTAGACAGGTACCGGAGCCAGGTTTTGAGAAGATGGAGCTCGTTCGAGACTCATCTTTTATTTTGATTCATATTTTTGGTGTCTATAAAACTTGACAGAACACACTTGTATTAAATTATATTATTAATGCAATGGATGATGTTGTTGCTTGTTTACTACTTTGCATTGTTGTGATACTGTACGTGACGTCCTCCACCCCCGAACGTTTCTGCCGTTCCGGTTTTGGGGTGTGACAAAATGTGTCTGGCCAGGTCCTAACTAAATTGATTTGTTCAATATAGAAGTCAGATAGGATCATCATAAATCTTTATCGGGTAACAGAATTTTCAACTTCGAGATTAATCCATTATCCATGTCTCAAGTTCACAGAAATATTTTCAACCTGCCTTAACCTGATAATAAGGCAGGTTTTCAAAAAGGTAAGGATTACCCTAGGAATTTGAATTGCTAAAGAATTAATCGGTTGCCTATAAATAGGATGCTAGGGATCAAATACTAGTTATCTATTCCCTCAAAAATTCGGTCACCCCTTTCATATATCTCTATGGGATTGAAATTTATATCTCTTCTCTAAGGATACTAAATTTTTTACACATCCCATTTAGGGGTTTCCTTGTTTTGTTTCTTGGAGTCATTGGTCTAAGTACATTAGAAGGTATCTCTTTTGGGTCCTTTATCCTTTGTAAGAGATGTCATTCACATGGTCTAAAGATCAAGAGGTAAGTATTCTATCTTTTGTTTAGTTGATTACAAAAGAAGGTTACTATAATAAGTAAAATGTACATCTTAGGGTGCATATACACTTAGGAAATGTAGTCTGTTTCCTATTCCATGATAAGTGTATTGATGCTATGAAATCCAATAGTTTATAGGGCTTAGTAGAAATATATAATGAGAAGAGATAACAATTCCGCATTGGTTCCAGGATAATTTTCTGTTACTATGAATATCTGTTATTTAGTTATGGATTAGCTAGTGGTATTGATTCTCCGTGTGTCTAAGATTATGTATTAGCATATTATGTCACCTTGTAGGTTGCATTCTTATCTATAGGATTATATTGTTATGTTGCAGTCTTATTTAGATGATTATATTGTTATGTTGCATTGTTATCTACAAGATTATATTGTCATGGTGGAATTTTAGCTATAGATTTTCCTTGGGATATGAAATTCAAATGCATAAAGTTTATCTAAAAGGTTATACTCAGGGTTTTGGAATTCCCCATCTTGGTTTATTATGACATGTTTAAAGGTTGTTAGTTTGTTTTAACTATCATACATAAAGCATGCTTGGATTGTCTTGATGGGTTAACACTCATGTAGCTCACAAGTCATTTTTACTTGGTATATTTATATATACTAGTTTTTTTATTATACTCTTATTCTTTTCTATTCCTAAGCCGAGAGCGGTAGGTGTTTCTCAGATCTCCTCTCTTGTATTGTCTAGTGAAGAGTTTGAGTTTTCTTTATGTACTTCTCTTTAAAAGTTATTTGGTATATGGATGTAAGGCAAAAGAAAAACTTATATAGAAGTGAAGACTAGAAAATTTTAGTGGTTTACTATTGCTTTGTTGATACCTCTAGAGAGCTTCTACTTTGTAGTTTTTGCCACACTTCATCAACTTTTTATCTCCCATCAGAATCAAAATCTTTAGAGGTTGTAATACATTTCCATTTTATGGTTTATTTAATCTTTCCATTCTTTTCTAAATGATCCTTAGTGGGTATGATAGGAATAAATCCTTAATGATCGAATAGATTAAAAATAGGTAAATAAGAACACAATGTGATCAAACTGGTGCTGAATGATTAACAGTCACACCTCAGAAGAACTCGATGAAGAATTGCTTCTATAGAGGCGTAAAATAGGGTTACAAAGATAATTATAAAAGTTAACTACAAAATACGTAGCATGCATGAATCTTATATACTATAACCCTAGCAGCAAATACGAGTGGACAGGCCCAACTCGTTTATACAAAATGGACTAAACAAAACAGGCCCAATGACGCAACCTTAAATCTTCAACAATCTCCCCCTTTGCGTCAATTGAGACCATAGCCATTTAGTTCTTGATTCGCTTCTGCACTTTGTAGACTTTGGGAATGAAGCTCAATAGCAGCTTGCGAACTTGAATATACCATGTGATCACATCCGTGAAATACTTCACGTCATCCTTGTGGTTGCCCTTAAACTTCGCAACCAGCTCCAAAATAAACTCCAGACAAGTAGTAGTAAATAGGTTTTTGTCTTCGAGATGAAAGTATAACTTGCGTCGATCAGCTCCTGGACGATCTCTAGACGTGTATACCACAAACCATCATTCTTTGTAAATTTTTCCTGGCTTGAGCTTCTCCAAGTCTTTCGGAGCTTCCTTTGGAACAACACTTCGTTTCTGCCTCAAAACAGTGGCAAGATCCACATCCATCATTCCAACTTCCTGAATATATGACTTGATCAAAAGTTGAAGATGGGACACCGCATGTTCGTACTTCTCTTTCTCTCTAAACAGAATATTATATATCACCATCCAGTCATGGGGAAGCTTTCGGTCTCGATCGGCCCAGTGACCTTCACAACAACAATCTTTCTCGCACTCCAAGTCTCGAACTGGGGCTTCATATACTTCAAGTAGAAGGCAAACAACATTTGATCCGCAGTGCTGTCTGTGAAAGGTACATTAGCAACCTTTACAAAGGCACGAAACCTGAATGCCTTTGGTGTGATTGGTAGGTCTAATTGTGAATCTTGTGTGTTTTGGATTTCAAAGGAAGAAATTGGATCCAACCAATACTGGCTTGGCATATCCACGGCTTGGATTTGAATGCGCTTCAGGATCCACTTAGGAAATAATAACATTCTGCTTTTAAGAGTGGCCTGAGCTTCCTTTTCGGCTCATTTCTTTCTCTTCTGCCTCTTTGACAATGTGAGCATGTTCGTCCATCTTTGCCTCGCGAGCCTTCCGCCTTTTGAGCTCAACTTCATCAGGCTCTTCGTCTTTGCTATCATCAATAATGGGTTCATCGCTGAATAGCTTTGCTTTTCTCTTTGGTTCTTGCTTGATGATAGGAGGTTTAATTGGAGCTTTGGGGGTTTCATTTGTTTGATCTTTGGAGCTACCTTCTTCCCCTTGTTTCGGAAAAAGACATCGGCGTCAAAACACCCTCCAAACGTTGTAAGATAGCAAACACCGGTCTTAGCTTTTCAGCCAAATGCTTCCTTACTCTTATGGAGATCATCGGATCACAAGTCTCAATGATATCTGAGAGCAGTCCTGTAACGTCGGAGATACAACTTCTCGTGACTGCCTTCTCTGCTAGCAAATCATCGAACTGCTTTTTAGCGTAGTGAAGCTTGGTTTCCAACACTTTACACTTTTCCTCCTTGATGGCGAGAGCATCCATTATCTTGTTTTCTGTCGCCAGTTCCTCCTGAAGCTTTGTGATTTTCGCAGCGATAGAAGTCTGGAATGCTTCATGATCAGACAGAAACGTCGTGCGAAGTTCAACAAACACTTTTTCTGCTTGGAACATGGCACCGACATTCTGAATAACCTTGTTTGCAGTCACTGTGTTGGCGTTGTAGGTATTCTTGTAATCCTCCATGAATTCTATTGTGTTAGCAATTAGTTTATCGACTTTTTCAGTCGTTTTCTTGCAGACACTAGCAGAGTCAGAAACTGCCTTGGACAAAGTAGAGGCATTAGCAGTATGTTCCTTCGTAACTCGCTCAAGGATTGACTCAACAGCAACTTTGGAGCACACCTCAAAAGTGGAGACTTTGGATGCGAGAATCAGCTGGTCAATCTTCTCATGAAGAGATTTGAGTTCCCCTTTCATAGTAGAGGCTTCATCTTCACTATCAATCCTTATTTGAAAAGGACTGTAAGTGAATCCGTAGAGGTGCGATGGAGATTGGGATAGAAGTAGTTATTTTTGGTGAGGGAGGTGGAGAATGAACAGAATCATTAAGTGGTGGAGTTACCTTACGATTCGAAGATGGGGCCTGAGTGCGAACAGGTGGTTCGTTGTGAACCTGTTCTCCCCCCTCATTACGAACATGTCCTTGTTCTTCAGTGCGAACGGGCCCATCTTCTGCATTACGAACAGGGGGATCTTCCTCAATGCGAATCTCCGACTCAGTATCGGATTCCAAATTTTCTCCTTGACTCTGAGATGGAGTAAGAGTGGGAGACTTTCGCCTTTTAACGGGTTGCTTCCTTCGCTTTGGTGCAACAGTAGAAGCAGCAGGAGCCTTTCGCTTTTTAGAGGGAGGTTTCGCAGCCTCAGAAGGTCCTTCTTTCGCAGTGTCTTTCTTGGTAGCTTTCATTGACCCTCTTCCCCCTTTCTTGGCTTTATCCGACTCAGCCAAAATTGCTTGGAATTCTTCCGTCAATGGACGAGGTCCTGAAGGAGTAAGAGAGCGATAACCCTCTAGAATTTTACTGGAGGGAGGAACATCACGAAACATAGCGTCCGGAATCGAGCAGATGAAGAAAAACTTTGACCTATCAGCCATAATGATACCCGTTGTATGGACTGTTGTAATAGAAGCCATCAGTGCATCAGACATCACTGGAATTTTGAGCTGTTGAATTGCTCTGTTAACGACGACGGTCCAGAATCTCGCACGTGAGATCTCATTGTGACGAGTAACAGAATGAGTGCTCTGGATAAGTTGAGCCCAGAGGATAGAACCATAGTCACATTTTGACCAGTATAAAGGCCAAACATCAGACCCATGAAGAGCTTGCTCGCACAGTCGTTGCCAGTGACCCTTTTAGAAAAAGCTTTGAACAAGATAGTGAATAGGCGTTCCATGTAGGTGGAAGATAGGGTTTCTTGAACTTGGAAACAGCAGTTAGAGTTTCCTTGTACCCCATTTGATAAAACATTTCCAAGATAGCAGCGTTGGAAATGGTTTCCGGGTTCACCATGTTTTCAGACTGAGGAAAACCTAACAGATTGCAGAAACGGGTTTTGGAAATCGAGGTTGTATGATTATGGATGTCGAAGTATATTCGTTGTTCTTCCTTGACATAGTTGGCCGTTGTGTATGGTTTGGAGAGAATCGATATTGGAACATTCTCAACTTGAGACAAAGCAATGGTGAGAGGGGAGTATTTCAGGCACTCAATAAGAGGTAGTAGATAGGGATCATATTTAACTAGATCCAGATCGATGATGAGGTTTTGATGTTGCTTAATGGCCAGAAGAGTTGAATGACCAGTTTGGTCTTGAACAGAAAGATTCTCAGATGAAGCCGTCGTTGATGAAGCTTGAAGAAGAAGATGAATAGTGGAGAGCTTTGTGATCGCCAGAAATCGTTTAGAGATTTTGAAAGTGGTAAAGAGATATGGAACCGTCAAAACCTTTATATACGATTTGATTTGGTGAGGAAAATCCAGAGAGAGAGTATCTCAAATACTGAACCGTCGCCTGAAAAAGCGTGATTTGACAGTTGTGATAAGTTAGAAGGGTGCGTCACACGGAGTATTAATATCTATCCGTTCAACTTTGCACGCGCCCGTTGGAATTCTTATTTTTTAAAACTTTCCGCGTCAGCTCAACTCCTTTCACAGTAAAGAAAGCACGTTGGATTCATACACCCCGGACGTTCAGTGTCATTAATCATAGATACAACTGCGAACCTGAAAATTATTTGTAACCACGAACTAGACCTTTGGAAAATCACTAGGATCTTCGTGCAAGAGTGTCAAAGAAAAAGAAATAAAACGAAGTTTATCTGTGGGATGTTGTGATGTCTAACTAGAGACATATATCTATTGATCCCATGCAAAGATCTCTTTCTTCATAGTCAAGAGAGACTAAGAAGTGTCTGTGCGGTTTCTTGTTGAATACGATCAAATGTTTGATGAGAAACACTGAAAGGCATCTTTTAATAAGGCTTATAAAGGTGGTTCATCCTTCAACCAAACTACGAACTTGACATAAGTGCGAAAGTTGGAAGAGGTACTCGTGTGACCAGTGTAGTCAGTTGAGCGAGTAGGTTTGGAATTTATTTAAGTGACTTGGAAAAATATTGAAATCTCAAAAAAAAATTAAACTGGATCCATTGGAGGAAGTGTCTTGGGACGAGAAAACTTCATTAGGATCTCTCAAAAGAAAAGAGATTTCTTGGTACTGACAACAAATGTGGACTTTCGTTAATTCTTGGGTGAAAATACTAGAACGTTTGATTGTTCACCGTCAACTCGTATAAGGTATTGAATTTTGGGTTTCACTCAGTTCGCGGTAGAACGAAACTCAGATCATTAACACAGATGTTTGTGTAACCATAAACCTCAGTGGTAGTTCCTGAGAGTCTCAAGGGTTACATGTATGGATGCGAAAGTGATGGAGAAGAGAGTAGATGGTTACGGGAAAGTGAAAGTACCTCTGCAATGCGAAAGTGACCATGCAGATAACTCTTAACTCAACGTGAGAAGAGTAAGGTAGCTCATGACTAATGTGAATTTGTAGCCTGATTTGGAAGAATTGATTCGTGGTATCAACCCATTAAGGCTTCACAGTTGAGTTGTTGAGGCTTAGGTCAACATGCAGCAGCATGCTTCTAGGGACACTTAGCTAATACATAAGCGACGAGATTTATACCTGCCCCATCACACGAGTTGATAAATGTTGCGAACATCTTCTTCTATGATCTTGGTGTGAATCTATAGTTTTTGGAATTTTTAATGTATTGTAAAAAGAAAAGAAATAAAAATAGACACAAATTAAAAATATTTTTGTGGTTTTTATTTTTATGAAAAACAATAAAATAAAACAAATAAATTATTTTTGGTTTTGGAGATTTTTTGAAAATGAAATAAAACAAAATTAAATTAATTAAAAAAAATAGAATATAGAAATTGAAAATAAAGATAAGCAATGATATACAAAATGTACAAAAGGATATATGAAATACCAAACCACGAATGAACAGTGCTCTGCGAACTACTACGAACGTTCGCATTGATTGACATCGATAAAATAGAATGTGAATGAACAGTTGCTGCGAAAGCCTGCGAACGTTTGCATCGATTCACAGTGAAGATTTTCTGAGTGCGATAGTGGATTTGGTACTGAATTAACTTCCACCATTCCTAGCCTTTGAAGGATTCTATTAAATGTTGTTTCAGGTAGGGCCTTGGTAAATATGTCAGCCAATTGATCAGCGGATCTTATGAAATGAATCTCGACATTGCCATCTTCCACATGATCCATGATAAAGTGATACCTCAGTGCTATGTGTTTCGTCTTTGAGTGTTGCACTGGGTTGTGACAAATGCGAATGGCACTTTCGGAGTCACAATAGAGAGGAATTCTTTTCATACTTAAGTCATAATCGCGAAGTTGGCTTAGAATCTAAATGACTTGAGATGTGCACGAAGCTGCAACTATGTATTCAGCCTCAACTGTTGACAATGAAACACATGTTTGTTTCTTTGATTGCCAACTCACCAGCTTTCCATCAAGAAATTGGCATCCACCAGTTATGCCATTTCTATCTAAACCGCAACCGCCTAAGTCAGCATCTGAAAATGCTTGTACAAAAAAACTTGAGTTCGCAGGATACCATATTCCAAGAGATGATGTTCGTTTTAGATACCGGAAGATATTCTTGACAGCCACCATATAAGGTTCATGTGGGTTGGCGTGGAACCTAGCACAGTAACAAACTGAAAACATAATATATGGTCTACTAGCTGTTAGATACATGAGTGAACCTATCATCTGACGATAAAGGGTCATATCAGCAGCTGGTTTATCCAGCGAAGGAGTCAGTTTTGTTCTGAATGCGATTGGAAACTTCATCTTTGAGTCTCCCATCATTCCAAACTTAGCAAGTTGGGTCTTCGTGTAAGCCTCCTGATTGATGAAAATTCCTTCCACTCCCTGTCTAATGTTTAAGCCAAGAAAAAATTTAATTGGACCCATTGAGCTCATTTCAAATTTAGTTTCCATTAGCTTTCGGAACTCAGCTGTTAGGCTGGGATTAGTAGATCTGAATATGATGTCATCAACATAAATTTATATGATCATCAAGTGGTCACCCTCTTTCTTGCGAAAGAAGGTTGGATCAACCGAACCTTGCTTGAATTTGGACATTTTAAGAAAACGAGTTAGTGTTTCATACCAGGCTCTTGGAGCTTGCTTTAGACCGTAAACTGCTTTGTCAAGAATATAACAGTGGTTGGGATATTTTTCATTTACAAATCCAGGTGGTTGCTCTACATAAATGGTCTCTTACAGTTCGCCATTTAAGAATGCACACTTGACATCCATTTGAAAAACTTAAAGTTTTTTGTGTGCTGCATATGCCAAGAAGATGCGAACGGATTCCAACCTTACAACGGGTGCGAAGGTCTCTTCGTAGTAAATCCCTTCTTCCTGGCAATAACCTTTGCCCACAAGTCTAGATTTGTTCCTGATCACATTCCCTTCTTTATCCATTTTATTCTGAAACAACCATTTTAAACCAACAACCGATGCATCTGGGGGAGTTGGAATCAGTCTCCAAACTTTGTTTCGTTCGAACTCATTGAGTTCATCTTGCATTGCTTGCACCTAGTCAGAGTGATCGAGAGCAGTGTTGACGGTTT